TGGAAATACCATTTTGAACAGTGGAGATAATCTGTTACACCAAAACTTTGATTACAAGTTTAAGTGAGATTTATCATCCTGTGGTTGTTATTTTGATAGTATCATGCTGTGATTACAAATATGTGTGGCCAGATAATGTCCCCTTTGGTTCAAGAACTTTTCCCTGGAGCAGAAACAATTTTGCTAAATTTTATTTTTGGTCAAAGTAGTTTTGTCAAAGCAATGCTAAGTCTAGCTTGCAATCACCTAAAATTATCATTACTTAATAAATGGTTAGACTATCTACATTTCAAAAAGCTCAACAAATGAGAAAGTGATATCTGATTAACTTGCATACGTTTGAGTATGTATTACCTGAATAGTCTTATCAGGAAGTCAGATGATGCTTTTTAGGTAATAAGTTCTATTTGTTTGTGCCTCTAGTATTAAGTGAAATCAGTGTAGCTAGCCATTCCTTTCTTCTTCCAAAATTAGTTTTTATTGATTAATTTTTTTAAAAAAAATCCAAAACTCTGAAGCATTAAAGAGTAAGGAATCACTTAGTAAATGCTTAGCTGCTTGAAAACAAATTTTCTTATTATTTTAAGTGGGTGATTACCAAGTAGTGCTCCTCCTATTTAAGCATTGATTTATTAGGTTCAAGATGAAGATTTTTGATCCCTGGGAAATCTGTTCTAGAAAGTCTGATGTTGGGGGCCTGTGAGGAGGCAAATTTAGTTGAGAGTTGTGGGTTCTTATATTGTTTTATTTCCTTTAAATATCTAGTGGCTCGAACTCCCAGAGTAAAACATGGACTAAAGTTTAAACCTAAACATTTCCCAGATGCTCTTGGAGATGTTAGTAAATATGGCAGCAGAAAAAGGGTTCTGTGGCCAATTGGTTCGGGATGCTTTGCACATCGCTGCCTCTCCCTGAGATTCAGATTTCCTGAAGCTTCTCAAAAGCTCTTGGAAGCCTCGTGTACATACCCCTGTAGCTCAGCATCTCCCAGGCACTTTATCTCTGTAGTTTGCCTCCCCAAAACACATAACCTAAGACTAATCAATTAAAAAAATCAGACAAATTTTAATACAGGGGTATCCTATGAATTAACTGACCAATACCCCTCTAAACAATCAAGATCAAGGTCGTAGAGGAAACCAAGGAAAATTAAGTGTAATGTAGTATCCTCAATAAGATCTTGAAACCCAAAGAGAGGACATTAGATGAAAACTAAAATGCCTAGATAAACTATGGACTTTAGTTAATAATAATAATGTATCAATATTGGTTTATTAATTATAATCAGTTTACCATACTAATGTAAGATGTTCAAAATAGGAGAAATTGTTTTTGGGGGATACATGGAGACTTTCTGTAGTATCTGCTTAATTTTTCTATAAAACTAAAACTGTTTTAAAAATATAAGGCCTTTTAATTTTAAAAAGCAACATTGCTAAGACAAATGAGACATTTTAAAATTTAAAGTATTCATCGTGTACACAAAATAGATTGGGCCATATAAGAATACAAAAATTTCAATTAAACTGTTCTGGTAAATGAAAAGTACAGAAATCAAGGCGTGTAAAGATTGGGACTCAGAGGAATGTAAGAATCTCTTAAAATGTTGTGATCCAAAAGGTCACAAGTGGAATCTAGATAATTTCCTCTATCCTTGATTTATTTATTTATTTTTGAGTTGGAGTCTCACTCTATCACCCAGACTGAGTGCAGTGGCCGCTCCCGGCCACCGCAGCCTGGACCCGCTGGTCTCCGGCGATCCTTCCGCCTCAGCCTTCCAAGTACTTGGAACTACAGGCACCCACTACCACGCCCGGCTATTTTTTTTGATTTACTGTAGAGATGAGGTCTCACCAAGTTGCCCAGGTGGGTCTTGAACCCGCGGGTTCAGGCGATCCACTCACCTCAGCCTCCCGAAGCAAGGGATTACAGGCTGAGCCACCGAGCCCGGCTTTACATATAAGATGCCACAACTCCGAAGAAACGCAATGCTTAGACCCCTCAATTAGACATTTGATGTTTAACTGGAAGACAATGGCAGAATGGAGTATAGGAAATTGTAGAATAATCTTTATAAAGGACATAACTCATTTTTGGATGAAGAAGTTAATTCTGAGCATGTTTCTCCTCCATTAGGCTCCCATGTCTGATACATTTGCCGTGCCTGTCTTGGGACAGTCATTCGGTCTTACACACTCTCTGGGGATGGATTTACAAGTAATTCTCATTGTACCTGCCACGTTTTCATGGATCTGTGCCTTATGCCAGTGATGCCAGAAAACCTATTGGGTTGATGCATAAGTTCGTAGCGTTTCCCCACGTGCCCGTGGAATGCAAATGTTGCCTGATGGTTGACTGGTCACAGTTCATGACATTTGCCAATTCTCAGGTTGACTGACGTGGGTCGTGGTGGATTGAAGTATTTAGATGGTCTTCACCAAAGTCTGAAGGTCTTCTTGAACGTGGAGCATCACTCAGGTCAAAGTGGCCCTCTTTGAAATGACAGAGTCATTTCCTTGTTGTGCTTTCCCGTTGGCGTCCTCCCCATCCACAGCATGAGCGTTGCAAGCCGCCTCCACTGCCTTTACTCCTCTGGGAAGCTCAAACAGAATGTCGAAAATGTTTGTTTTTTTCCACTTGACACTCCATCTTCTTCATCCCACAGATAGCACTAACTTTCGTCAAAACTGCAAAATGCAAGGCGTATTCACAAGTACATCATTATCCCTCCAAATGACAAATGATAAACTCCCAGCACCGCAGTTATGCCATGCCAAAACAAATGCTGAAAACGTATGCATCAGCCTAATACTTGAACTGTTTTATATGCAATGATTGCTGGTACAGTTATAAACACCATAACAAACGTAATAACTACGACTTATCAAGCATGCCAGGGACTGTGTGGAACTCCTTACTGTATTCTGTTTAAACTTGGTAACAAACCAGAAAACTAAGCTTTGTCATTTTACAGATAAGAAAACTCTCTTATGCATACAGTTCTTTGCACATAGTTGGTGAGGTAGGGATGTCCCTGATTAATTCACAGGCCCTTCAACCAATGTTTTAAAAGCTAAACTTCTTACATCCTGTTTAAATGTGTTCTTAGGGAGGATAAATATAACCCTTTTGGGAAACAGTCTTGGAGGAGGCTTAGTGTATGGTCAAATTAATTTCAATGAATTAATTCATCCAGCTCTTCCTGGTATGAAGAGAAAACAGAGGGAGCTGAGGATAGCATCAAGATTCAGGAAAAAACAGACAGATGCTTGTTACTAATCTAGTAAGATAACTTACTTTCTTAACAGTTTGATTTCTTTGTAGTATCTCCAGACAGAGCTTGGTAGTAAGAAGGAGACTTGCCTTAATAAAATTTTTGCTTGCTTCTCTGGATGCCTTTGTTTGAGTTACTTTTCTGAAAAAAGGAAAATGTTCTTAATTTTCATCAAAGATAGTCATTGCCTATGTTGTCACTTGTACTGTGGGGACAATAAGCCAACAATGAGGCTACATTGCTGGCAACAGCTTTCCAAAACTGAGGGATGAATCACCTCTCATCAATTACATCTCTAAACTTAGTAGCATCAGCTTATAAGAGAAGTTCATGCTGTCTCTGCCATTTAGTTAACATGGATAGAACACCTCCTCCACGACCAATTCATCCTTTGCTATAATTTACAACTTCCTGGTACATGACAATGATTTAACTTTCTCAGATCTTATTTGACTTAGCTTGAAATAATGCCATAAGGTAAGACGTAAGCCTAAGACTATATTTATATCCTTTTTCTCTGTAAGACTTATATTAATAGAAATGGCATACCCTCTTAAACTATAGATTGGGTGCAGGAAGTTTGTTGAAAAATTAAAACTACCTTTCTCCTAATTCACTATAGCAAGAAAAGCAAATCTACCTCTGGCTTGCATTGAACACCCTTGAAACTGAAGGGTCTAATATGTACCTAGTGTTTTTTCTAGGTTTCACCAGAAGTCGTGTTTTTAAGAGAGAACATGAAATAATTTTCCATGATGTAGAATTTCCCTTCTGTCATTCTTCTTCTTTCCTTTTTCTATCCCATTTTCTCATACTGCAGATTTTCTCTATGCTGAAGGATTCCTGGACTCAACCATTTAGTCAACATTTAAGACCCATATGTCAAACATTAATTAAGATGTGTACCTGGATGTCAATCACTAGTTTAAAAAAGACGAGTATGTGTAGATGATGGTGATGGTCTATTAAAAAAATATTTCAGCAACAGTCTGTAAAATTCAAGGTATTGACAACTGTCACCTACAAAGTCAATTTGGCCCCCAAAATGGGTTTTTTCCTCTCCAGTGTTGCAAAGCCAGTATACAAAACTAAAAGTGGGGGTCAAACAGGGCAAGCTTTAATGTAACGGCCATAAAATGGCGAAGTGGGAACATGGTTCACAAATCAACTTCTTACCAGGTGGGAGGTTAGGGGGTTAGAATAGAATTTCTTTAATGAAGGGGTTGGACATTAAAAGCAAGAAGAGAAATATCCAGGTCTTTTCTGGGAATACGCAGAAATTTCCCAGAATTCAGATCATGCCCCTTTTCCTCCTTTTTGGTCCAGCATTTCCTGTTATGGTTCCTGAGAGGTGTGTCATTTAGTATGGAAAGTATATTTCAGTGAGGTTAAAAGTTCTTTAGAGGGTGAGTGGTCTGCCATCTTGAATGTTATCGGTTTAGCTGATCTGGTCAGAAGGAGAATTTATTTCTTCAAGCCTTCCTCTTTCTTAAAGATAAGCAGAGTTAGGTTGGGGTAGAAATTCAGCTGTCATATAGGCATTGCACTGGGTAGCACCAGAACACAATGAGTAGTTCTTGATTTTAAGCATATGTAATTGTACACGTTTCTTTGACCCTCACAGACCACTGGATTTGCTACAAAATTATCTTATCGGAGTACGACTAATATCAAATCAGAAGATTTCCCTAAAGTGATAGCTACTATTTTCCTCTTCCAAATGCAGAAGTTCCAAGGCGTAGAAGAATGGCAGACGAACGGAAGGATGAAGCAAAGGCGCCTCACTGGACCTCAGCTCCACTAACAGAGGCATCTGCACACGCACATCCACCTGAGATGAAGGTTCAAGGCGGGGCAGAGGAAGCACTTGTCCAAAGTGCAAATGGGTTCCCATACAGGGAGGATGAAGAGGGCGCCTATGGAGAGCATAGGTCACAGGACACCTATTCAAAGACCAAAGAGAATGGCATCAATGGCGAGCTGACCTCAGCTGATCGAGAAACAGCAGGTAACTAAGGGTCCTGCTGTCGCCAGTGCTTGCTTTGTACTTTGAAGTCTCATTGAGTCTGAAAGTGAATTAATTGGCAACCCTGATCCTCTTTCATTGGTGCTAGGACTGGAATTCCAGTCAATCAGAGGAAATGGAAGCTAAACGAAGGGAAATATAATGGCAGCCAACCCAACATTTCCCCACATCAGTGGCATTCTCCGTCACATTTCCCTATTTAATTTTTATTGCTTTCGTTTTTCTAGAGAAATGACTCTATGTATGTATATTTTGCTAGAAACGGTTATTATGTTAACTCAATGAAAGAAAGCTTCACAAATAGTGTAATTTTGATTCTCTTGAATGACACCCCCTAAATCCGATGGGTTGATTAGAATTTTTACTTTTTAAAGCAGAAAGAAATGTAAAATTTATCTCCCCAGTCTTCAAAGAGGAGAGAAAAAAAAAGATAAAAAGTAGATACACATATACAGAAATGATTTTATACGTCCTCAGATAGATTTTTCAACAATAATATACAGATATTTGAAGAACATAATCTAATTTACTCTTAAACGCTTCTTTTCAAAGTATGATTTCCACCCATACTTACCTTTGCTATATTATTAATAATATTAATTGGCATAGAGAAATACTAGCCTGCATTATAGTATTCTTCACCACTATTTTTCCTTTTTCTGTAATTCAGAATTCAATGCATTTGAACTCAATAACTTAAAGACAATTGCTTATTCCAAAAAGAATAAGCTAACTACAAGTAGTAAGAAAGACTATGACCCCTTCAGAATTATTCCTTACTTATTCAAAGATTGGTTTTCTATACTCATCAACTAGTAACATTTACCAACTGTCCACTCTGTTTTTAAAAAGATATTTCCATTTTAATAGGAAAATATGAACAGCTTTTCAAATGACAGGAGAAATTACCCAAGTATATAGTGAATTTTTAAAAAACATCATTCAACAAACTTCTGTTGAGCATTTTCTACATACAAGGTGCTGGGCATGTGCAGGGAATGGTCTCTGAACTTCATGGACTAGATGATCTTGGAGCAGACATGAGTCTTGTGCATATGATTAATTAGAATACAGAATATAGTGTGTAAGTACCACATGGGCAGTATAGAAAGACAAAGCTGAAGAAGGATTATTTCTACTTAGGGCCAAAGTTCCCTGATTGCGCAAAGAGGCATCTACGGGTGCCATGACAAATTCACGACTGAGGCAAAGACTTTTAAATACTCAAAGGAAACACAGTAATATTCAACAACTGTCAACTACCACATGAACTAGTACAAGGTAGTTAACAGCTTCAATATTAGATCACACCATATTCCTTGGGAAGATGTCATATCTTTGCATAGTTGAATTTTTAGCGATTGTTCTGTTAACAAGCAAGTATCTTGCAGAAATCCATGAAGAACAGAAAAAGAAGTTGACCGTGTCTAATCTGATTCAAGGATTTGAGAAGCTGTGCAGTGCCCAGCAGACGCACATATCTTATTAGTAAGAAATAATGATTCAGAATAAAATAAAAACAATCCTTTCACCTTTCATGGTTACAAAGAGGATTAAAATAAGATAATACAGTATCTTAAATAGTAAAGTGTGACTCAAGAAATAACTATTAATTGCCATCAATAATCCTAATAGCAGTGGTGGTGTCAACATGGACTACATAGCATTCTTGATCACGTAATTTTTTTTTCTGCAGTCAACTGAACACAGCTTAAAGAGAGTAGTAGTACTTCCCTGTCAGAAGCACTGATGAAGAGGATTTTGAAGGGATTGCAGCATGACGGGATGAGGGCCCATTATTAGCACTCTGGTTATGAGAAAGAAAAGAGTTGATATGCTAGGTCAAGATTTTTCTTATTATCATAATCCTGTAGCACCTGACATTACAAGTTCAGTACTCATTAAATATGTGTCCTTTTGAAAATAATGATGAAAACTATTAAAAAATCTTATTTTGTCCTTTGAACTCTCGCCAGTTGATTCTCACTGACTATTAGGAAGGTTTGTAATATACTGAAAAAAAAAAAAAAAAGTCACTATAGTATGCTTGGTCAAGCAGCAAGAACTAACATCATTCACTATTTAACTTGTTCATTGGTCTTAATTATTTGAGAGAGTGTCAGAAAAGTCTGTTTTTTAGTGAGTTCACCAGCTTCTTTGAGAAAATAATATAAATTTTAAAAAGATTAACCTGTTTCTTTTTTTTAATATATATTTTATTTTAAAGATGTGGGATACAATTCAGGATTCAAGTGTCATCATACAGGTAAAGTTTGGGCCTCCCTTTGGTACCCAATTTGCCTGGTTTGAGATCAGGTTCTTATTGATATTGTGTCCCCACCCCCACCCAGGCAGTATCTCACTACTGTTGATCCCTTTCTTAGAGTATTATGGTAAATGCTCATGGTCTGCTTATGAGTGAGAACATGTGGTACTTTGTTCTTTGTTTCTGTGATAGATCCTTGAGTATGATAGACTCTAAATCCATCCAAGCTGCTTCAAAGTCCATATGTTTGTCATCCTTTATGGCTGTGTAATACTCCATCGTGTAAATGTGCCACATTTTTTATCCAGTCCAGTTTTGATGGGAGCATGGTTGGTTCCAATTTTTTTTTTTTTTTTTTGCTATTGTGAATAGTACTGCAGTAAACATGCATGTGCTGATACCTTTTTTATGGAATGATTTGAGTTTCTCTGGGTATATTCCCAGTAGGGGAATTACTGGCAAATGCTTATTTCAAGTGATGGGTTCAGGAGCATCTAGAATTGATTTTAAATTCAGCTCAACATAAATCAATCAAATATTTTAGCATATTTGGGAGGTTTATGACAACAGTTATATATGTATCTTTTTAGTGACACAGGTTGCAAACAGTCAACTGTGAGTTACAGGAGTGATGTATTCAATTCAAGGTGTGTGTGATTTTAAATGAACTTCCTCCAGAAATAACAGATCAAGTATTCAATCCATATAATATACATGTGTGAAAATCTGTAGGAAAAGACAAATTATAAAATATGATCTCCTCATATCTACAAAGGATGGTCCAGTCTGAGTTAACATGCAATTACTCTCCAAACTCTAATTTGATAAAATAATACATTTTATCATTCATGGTTTATTGAGAACTGTTTCACAAATTGTGTAATGAAAATCATCTCTAGTAAGAAGAAATGTTCTTCAATTCCAAATAAGGTCTTTAAAAATACTGTCCTTCGATGATGGAGACCATTGGTATGAGCTGATGTTATATTTTGATGTGATTCTTTTGAAGAGGACCAGAGAGTTATCTACCAGCTCACTTTTTTATACAATCCACCAGTATATTGCATTTTTCCCTGTAAAGCAGGGATCCCCAACCCTTGGGCCTTGGGCCAGTAGTGGTCTGTGGCCATTAGGAACTGGGCTGGACAGCAGGAGTGAGTGGCGGGGGAAGCGAGCAGAGCTTCATCTGTACTTACAGCCGCTCCTTATAGTTTGCTTTACTGCCTGAGCTTCACCTTCTTTCAGATCAGAGGGGGCATTTGATTCTCATAGGAGCGCAAACCCTCTTGTGAACTGCTCATGAGAGGGATCTAGTTTGTGTGCTCCTTATGAGAGTCCATCGCCCAATGATTCTGATGTTCTTAGGTGGAGCTGAAACAACGAGATTAGCACTGGGGAGCAGCTGCAAATACACACTGACATTAGCGTTGAGGTTCGACTGCACAGAGACCGTCACAAATCAGTTGCTTTCAATTGCTATCAGTGAGTGGCAAGCAAGTCGATGTTACTTCCGTTCTACATCTAGTGGCAGGCTTTAAGTCAGAATTCCGCATTTATTTTAGTCCGCATGTGGCCTGCCCATTATTTTATTTACCAACTTTGTCTGCATGTTTTTGTCTTATGGTAAGTTGTGTAATTATTTCATTATGTATTACAATGTAATACTAATAGAAATAAAGTGCACAATAAATGTTATATGCTTGAATCATCCCAAAACCATCCCCACCCCCAGGTCTGTGGAAAAATTGTCTTCCACAAAACCAGTCCCTGATGCCAAAAAGGTTAGGGATTGCGGCTATAAAGGATATTTCTCAGACCACTGCTGACATGAAGCATTTCTCAGAGGCATCAGGTCCTCAGGTATATGCTGTGGTGTCCAAGCCATGACTAGTAAACCCCAATTTACCTTTTTTGCTCTAGTCCTCTTTTCATTTTTAGAAATAAATCTTTTTCCCAAGGATTTTTGTCGTTGCTGCTGTTCATCTGTACAAATAAGATCACATGATAAATCAGTTGCAATCGTCATCTTCCTCCCCTTCCTTCCTTCATCAGAGTGGGCTTATTTCTCTTTTTTTTATTTTAGTTTTTTTAATTTTAAAGATGTGGGGTACAATTCAGGATTAGGTATGCAAGTGGTCCATCGTACAGGTAAAATTTGGGCCTCCCTTGGGTCCCCACTTTGCCTGGTACCTTTACTGATGTTTGTTTCTCCCCCCCCCCCCGCCTCCTGCGTGGCAGTATTCCAGTACTGCCAATCCCACAAAAACAAAGAGTGAGCTTATTTCTTTTTCTTTTCTTTTCTTTTTTTTTTTTTTTTGAGTTGGAGTCTTACTCTGTCGCCCAGACTGGAGTGCAGTGGCCGCTCCCGGCCACCGCAGCCTCGACCTGCCGGGCTCCGGCGATCCTTCCGCCTCAGCCTTCCAAGTAGCCGGAATTACAGGCATGCGCTACCACGCCGGGCTGATTTTTTGATTTATTGTAGAGATGAGCTCTCGCCAAGTTGCCCAGGTGGGTCTCGAACCCGCGGGCTCAGGCAATCCACTCACCTCAGCCTCCCAAAGCGCAAGATTACAGGCTGAGCCACTCAGCCCAGCAGAGTGGGCTTATTTCAACCAAGTTTCTTGCCTTATTCTCCCTGATCCACCCTACCAATGTTCACCTTCATTTGTGGACCATCATAATTTTTAAAGATGCACACCCATAGTCAGCTTGTCCT